CTCTCTCTCTCTCTCTCTCTCTCTCTCTCTCTCTCTCTCTCTCTCTCTCTCTCTCTCTCTCTCTCTCTCTCTCTCTCTCTCTCTTGTATCTCTCTCGTATCTCTCTCGTATCTCTCTCAAGACTTGAATCGCTCAACCTCCCTGCTGCGCTCAACTCTCCTCCCTCGCCTAGATCTACCCTGAATGCAACTGCAGTGTGTCGCCCTACTCTGCCCACTATGGACACCTTCTTCCTTAACCTTCTAACACGAGCTATGGTAACCAGACATTCTTCCCCGTCGGGCACTCGCTCCTCTGCCAGCGCCCACCTTCCATCCACAGCGCACTATCACACAAGCAACTCACAGCTCGTCCATATAGGACTTCAGTGCATGCACGCTCTTCTAATTCCCTCTATGCATGTTCAAAATCTTCTGTGTCTTGCGCCTCCCCCTCATCTTATCTTCGAACCTCCTATATAGCGCATCTAAATAGACTTCTAAGGGGGTGATGTGAGAGTACTGTATGATGTCTCTCTGGCACCCTGCATTCTCTACAAGGGAACTAGAGTAACTCGCTGTGTCGCCGCCCAGACAAGAGGCAGCGAACACGACCTGCAAGGATGGCACTACCTTCTGGCCGTACGCGTAATTTTTGACAGACGCATCCAATGCATGAAGTTCTCCTCCTTCTTACCGGTATAGGTCCAGAGCATCTTCATCTTGATCTTATCCCTGGCCTCCTCATCTCCTTCCTTCATCTTCCCCTTTCCGGGCTTCTTCCCCTTCTTCCCTCCATTTCCATCGTCATCATCTCCCTCATCACCTCCGTCAAGATCCCTATTGGCCATCATCTTTGTGGAGGGCAATTTTGGAGAGGAGAGTGATCTATGGGTCCTTCTCTTCGACCATTCTTGTCTTCAACTCCTCTATCAACGCTGCCCCTTCTTGCAGCATCTGGTGAGGCAGAGAAACAAGCGCTCTGAAGGCAGCAGTGGCATTCCCTGCCAATTTACTATTGAAGGCCCAAAAAATATCTCGTCGTCGTGTGCTTGGACCTGGTGCATGTGTATTTATTGACCTGTGCATGTGCATGTGTATTTACTATATACTACTTATATTTGTTTACAACTCGAGACAATCCATGTAAGGTAAAGTGGACGAATCAAAGACTACATCACCCATTGAAAATCCAGAACGAAAGAAAATCCATACACCAAGAAGAAGACAGAAAAGCAAGGTTTCAATTAAATACCGTTGTCAATATTTTTCCTCTGTTACCAATGATACTCGTCAGTGAACCTTTGAAGATAGCGAGACAAAGAATATCCTTTTTCTAGTTTCCCCTTTTTTAGCACAAAAAAAACAAGACAAAACTGCACCTGCGACTGCTGCACAGTTCAGACTTCACAGAAATAACAGTCCGCTGCAAGATTGGGCCGTGAGCAGTTCGAAACAGCAAAAAAAACAGTAAACTATGTGTTCGACGGCCTATCGGTTCACAAGTGGCAAAAACGGGAGGTGGCCTGGGCTAGTGGTACCTCCCTTTACCCCGTGGCCTGGCCTGGGAGCAGGTACCGGCAGCAGGCCCTCCCTTTTTTTTTTTTTTTTCCATTTTTGGCTTCTGGCGGGACTCTGTTCGGGCGGGTAGCCGTGGACTGCGGTTGTGGAAACCCCGCTGTGTGTGTGTGTGTGTGTGTGTGTGTG